GAAATACATCTCCTGGTGGCCCAAGCCAACCGCATTCGCGTTGTCCGGCCTCAACACGGGGTGGTGGAACGCCAACTGCGAACGATGGTTCATCAAACGGCTGAAGGAGATGGAAACCATGCGAGTAAAGCTTCACACGTATACCGAGTGGAAGCAGAAGCTCAGGTTCAGCAGTGGTGCTCGCAAGGTGAACACGCAGAACGACGTACTTTCGGCCCGGTATCTCGCAGCGCGCTTGACGTAGGTGTATATTGTACAGTATCGATTTCTTGCAAACACATTGGTGCCACGGACGATGATCTGCAGACCATCTGCAGATGATCTGCAGACGAGTTTAAACATGACCGAAACGTGGAATTTCGTAACTAGTTTTGAGGAGTTTTAAACGACTTACACTACTTCTCATTTCAGCGGGCTCGAAACGTGATACAAAATCTGGAGTATTGGCAAGGGTATCGGCAACACCGATACCTTGCATTTCGGCAGTCATTTCGTGTTCATTTATTCGCCGTATTTAAGATTACATTTTGAAGCTAATGAAAGCTACAACAAAACTTCAAGTTTCGGGGAGATCTAATCCAATTATGATAGATTAGATTTCCGATTAGATTTCGGAGATGCCGAAATCAGACGCATCAGCGGTAGTTTCGGGCCGTTTTATTTATTTTACGAAATGTTAACTAACGGGATTAACTTCGGACCTTCCATTATTTACGATCCGCCGCTGTGATTTTGCAACTAATCCGATTGCAGATAGAATTTTGGGTATCTCTTAGCTTCCCTGCTTTCAATGCCACTAGGACAGAAGCAATCACAAGACCACCAGCCTGGGTGACTGGTCCTTGGTCCTCTATTACAAGATAGCTGTTACAAACACATAGTTTTACAAAGCTGGTCACCTGTTTCTGGGACTCGTTCCTCTTGCACATGATACACTTAACTTGATTTGGACTGAATCCAAGAAGCAATAAATTAAATCCCAGGAGGTCGCCTGTCTAGGATTTGATGGAAAAATTGCCTTTTATAGTAGGTGTTTATATGTTTGGTGTTCTGATTTGCTTCTGATTTGCGCAGTGTGCAAATTTCAAATTTGCGACTTCGGCAAATAGTGTGCCTTTAATGAGCAGATAGAACCCTTATATAGAATTTGCGGCACCCGCAAATCTTGTGCAGTTGTTGAGCACATCTAAAATGTGCGTACTATCTGCGCAGCCTGCAAATGACCATGTGTATAATAAGAGATTTTTGAATTTGCGTGGGATTTGCGCAGAATTTGCAGGCACCGCAAATCATAGCTTGCCCCCAGTGAGACCTCTCCAGAGGTCTTCTCGGCATTCCTACAGGTACTGTGGACTTCTCGTCGAACAACCTTTGTCCTTGTTTGACTTCTCAGATCGCGTCGTACTGGTCACATGTCTCATTTGACGTGCCAAGTACTATGCCGATCACTGTCATTCCTAGCAATCCATGCGTCTATTGCTCTCTATAGTTCCCAAGTGTTGGAGCTTGGATCCCGGGGTGTAGCAGCAGAGCGCGCGACGAGTACAAAGGCAAGATAGTGGATGGTCATGTGATACAAACAGCGGTAATCTAATCTTGTCTCGACTCTAATCTATTCCTTCCAACACACCCCCTGAGTCGAGACACCCCCTGAATCACATCGAGAACTCGGCTTCGTCCTCCTGCAAGGACATCCCTCCAAATGCCGACTGGATCTCCTCAACTGTGATGCTGTTCTTCTTCTTCTTCTTCTTCTTCTTCTTTGGGGTTCCAGCGGAAGTCGAGGTCGAGGCAGTGAGAGCCGGAGATGGAGGGTGAGGTAAGGGATCAGCGAGGGGACCAGGAGCAGGATAAGGGACGGTGTGGGCGGCGAACACGCTCTCACGAATGATCGGGTCCATTGTGTCGATATTGATCTCGAACGGGAGGTCAATGGCAGCAGCGGCGATGTGGGAATGAGTGGGAAATGCAGATGCAGCAACGTGCGGTGTGTCGTTGTCGCTATCGCTCGATTCGTCCTTCGCAAGCTGGGCCTGACGATCGCGGTTGCGAACAATGCGGCGTCGGACGTCCTCGGGCATGACTGAGATGCAGTACTGCGCAAAATGGCCCGGGAGACCACAACGATAGCAGACGTCCATGCGGTTCTTGGTATTTGTCCAATCGAACTCTTTACCGGCCGATGAGTGCGAGTGCGAGTGCGAGTGCGAGGAGTCCGTGGGGCGGGAGCGATGAGGACGATGATCTGCAGCGAAAGCACCCCCTTGATTCGCATCATCGAGGTCCATGACGGAACGTGCAGCCTTGATGACAGAATCTTTACGCTGAAGATCAGCCCGCTCCCATGCGTTAATCGCATTGATCATCGCAGGTACATCGCGCTGAGGAGATTCCATCTGAAGGTGGGTAATGATAGGAGAGTAGGCGGATGAAAGACCACTCAGGATTTTGTCCTGGACCATGTTCAAGGGGAGCGAGGCGGCGATGGCCGTAAGGCGACGCTCTGCGGTGACAACGGCCTGCAGATAGGTATCCGCAGATTTGGAGAGGTCGTGAGAGATGCCATGGAACTGGGACATGAGGATCGAACGAGTAGCGGGGTCGGCAGTGGTGTAAAACGACTCGAGAGTCGCCCATAGCAAACGACCATTGATACCAATGCCTGTATTAGCAATCTTGTCCTTCACCGCTTGGCTCAGCGTGAGGAACAATACCCCATGCGCCTTCGAGTTGGCATTGGACCAGGCACGGAGCTGTACCGCACCATTTGGAACGGGGACCGATGGGTCGACCGCATTCCAGAGATCGTCGACCAGTAACAGGGATGTCGCATCCGGTTTCCAGTTCCAATAGTTCTCCGGTCCTTCGAGTTTCGCAATATCCGATGGCTTCATGGCGAGCGAGGTCGAAAATCCGGGTGGCAATAGAACAAAGAGAATGTCGAATGTGGCAAGGAACCGGGTGCTGATCGTGACAGCAAACAATAAATGGGGGAGGATGGTAGTCTTCAATGAGTAGTAGAGCTATAGGCCCATAACCTGTTGGAGCTTGGATCCCGGGGTGTAGCAGCAGAGCGCGCGACGAGTACAAAGGCAAGATAGTGGATGGTCATGTGATACAAACAGCGGTAATCTAATCTTGTCTCGACTCTAATCTATTCCTTCCAACACCAAGTACTCCTAGAGTACTCTGAAGGACTTCTCCGCACGTCGCGGCCTTGAACCCTACTACTTGGTTCATGCCTGTCTAGTGGACTGTGGCCATCCAGTCCCTTGGCCATAGTCATGGTCTCCAAAGTTGTCAAGGCTTTTGTGGGTATTCTCCTGGGTATGGTATCTAGCTTTCGTAGTGTAGTCCAAGTCCTGGGAAGAACTTGTACTTCACTAATAACCACACAGAGGTCTTAGCAAGCAATATGACAGTCCCCGTTTAGTAGGACCAAGAGCATAAGTGCTTGTCTAAACATGATACTGCCTCTAATGGCATGGTCAATACACAATCAGCGGCTCGGAGCTCCGCTCTGACTCTAACTGTATGTCACCGGACAGGGTTCAAGTACCAAGTACTCAGTACTAGTACCGGAGTCCTAGTAGTTGTACTGGTTAAGTGATAAATCACAAAAAGCGACCTGACGAGGGGTCGGCAGATCCAACCTGTATCAGCGGGCGGGAACTAGACGGCCGACTAGATGGCCGAGCACAATGCTGAGCCCAATGAAGAAGCAGCTGCTGCCCGCTCCCCGCGCCCCCACTGCCCCCCGCTCACAGAGCAATTTTGCAGATGCCGGATGCGGAAGTGTAGTCCGAGGGCAACGAGGTAAGCGCTGATTGCCAGCCGGCAAACATAATTGTCCGAGGGCAATGGAGAGTGGCTGGCCCATCATTGGCATCAATTATTTGCAGTTCTCCGAGGTCAACAGGCAGCGGCGGGGGCATCACAACCCATCATTGGCATCATTTCAAGACATTTTGATCTCGGGTGTGGCTGCCAGATGGCCCTGTATGGCCCAGGAGGCTATACCACAAGGCCTAGGACATTTTGCAAACCATTGCTGGCCTGGCCCAGCTTATTTACAATATCATAGCTATATGAGCTGTTGGCTGACAGCATAGCATGGGTGCCGGTTGTTGGGTGCAACACCGCACAGCCTTTATTTCTCAGGGGGGTAACGCCAAGCCGCACTTGGGAAGAAGAGCCAGACAAAGGTAGATAGGGGTACACACTGTGAGGACACAACACTAACGCCGCCTGAGCAGGGTCAGAGCAGAGCGACGAACAAATGCCACCACTGGAGGCATATAAGCTGAAATGCCAACAAAAGGCAGCCTTTAACAACAGTGATGAACAGCAGGTTTCGCACAAATCGAAAAGGCTAGCCTGTCTGATAGAGAGTTCCGGTATGTTCAGCGCCCTATCAAGGAAAATGCAGCTGACAGAAGGGGCAGACGACAAGAGCACCGAGGGCACCGCTTAGACAATGAGATTTACATCGGGGTTTGCCTCCTTTAACCAAGTCCATTGCTAGTGTTGAATGTGATGTTTGCTCGCAATGGACATTTTCTCATTTGTAGGCCTGTGTTCTTTTGGTGTCGGAGAGTCGGAGCCGGCTTAGTAATAGGACCCGTGAGAGGCCTGGATGCTGTGCAGTGAATTCTTCACTAGCAAGGTTCGAGACAGCAGGGCCGGCGCCTAGTAGTATCATGAAGCGAGAAATTTAGTATAGGTAAATGGAGACAACGAACCCTTAGACACAGGTGGTCGACCCACTTGTGTTCGTAGAATTAGTGCCAAGAGTGACCACCAGACTTGAGTGTTAAAACCAAAACTGCGTGCCATTCTTGTGCAGCCTGTTCATCCCGTAAACCATAAACACACAAACACGATTGATTCCAGCCTCGTATTGCGATCAACTCCCCCTGCGTATAGCAGCTGCAGATCGACGGACGTTCAAAAACACGACGAACGACAATCACACTCACACTCCGAAAAACAGCGAAAAAGGGCTCAACCGGGAATTGAACCCGGGACCACGCACATGTAAGTCATCCAGATGACTGGGAACACCCGAAGCGCGTATCATGCTACTAGACCATTGAGCCGATATGAGGGTGCCCGGGCGTAGCGTCAATATCCCAGAATTAATGTTTGTGATTACATCGAGGACACAATCTCAGAGTGGTGGCGGCGAGGGCGGGCCGGTCGGATCGCGTGCACGTTCCCCTCAATCTTCAAGCCAACTTCAAGCTTCAAGTCAGGAGTGTTCGTCGAGTCCGCGTCGTGCCACGATACGGATTTGATGCGCATACCGCAGGTGGATTTACAGAGCATTAGTGTTTAGTCGCGCCTGCGCAGCTGAAAAGGCGACTACTTAGTGGCGAGAGCGCGCGTTCCCCCCGTTCTTCAAGTTCGCAGCCTCCTCCGAGTCCGGGGCAGACAGCGATACCACCATATATTTGAGGCGCAATGCGTTCAAAAGAGTTCAGAGGATGCATTTTATGGTAGATACATACACTGTGCGCCTATCCTCCGTAAAGCTCTGCACCTATCCCCCGTACCTTCAAGTCCTGCTTCCGTCCCTCCCCCGGCCCGCAGGCGTCGTCACGACCTCGCGACTCAGAGCGGGGATTCTGCCACATGCGACGTCGCGTTGTGCAGCGCTCCGCAGCGCACGCGTCCCGAGTCCCGAGTCCCGAGCCATGGGGGTCAAACAGCGCCCCGCCCCGAGTGCGTGGGAGCACGGGGAGGAAACCAGAGTGGATGCATTCTGTAGCTAGCCTGCGAGTCCGTACCTCCTGCTTCCGTCCCGTCCCCCCGGCGTCGGCGCGACTTCGAGAGTTCGAGATTTCGCGAGCCGGGGGCTCTGCCGCGGAGCGCCGGTGGGTCGTTTCGTGCAGCCCTGCCGAGCGCGTCCCGAGCCGCGGGGCTGGACAGCCAGCGTACGTCCCGCCCTCAGGCCACCCCGGCGTCGGCACGGTTGCGAGAGCGGGTTGTCGCATCGCGTCGCGGTGTGCAGCCCCCAGGCTCCGCCAGCCGCGAACCCGAGCGCGTGGGAGCCGCGTGGAAGAAAGGACGTTCAAAGATGGAAGGATCCGCGGTCGGGTGTGAGTCGAAGCCAGGACGGCATGGGAATGGGAGACGGATGCAAGAACGTCTCGCGCCGGGGGAGCGGTGTGCAGGGGGCAGCGGAACGGGGGTAGGGCGGCGTCGCTCGCTCGTGTCCGATGGTCAACCGGGCCCGAGGGCGAGCGGCGTCGGCGAGGACCGCGGTTCGTACTTATAACTGAGCGCGTAAAACAACTTGGCTTGAATAGAAGGCCGAACCAGCAGAAGCGGGAGATCATACGGTGCGACACGAGTCTTCAGCTTCAGCTGCAGTGCTTGTTTCGTGGTGAGCTCCTCCCGCGACCTGGGGCGAGTGAATTTACGTTACTTAGAGTGGAGAACTACACTAGAGACTGAACAGGTCGACCGATCAGAAAGGCAAACGCGCCGCGGACGGCATGCACGCAGAGATAAGGCGGCGGGGCAAAGGCGCACGGAGGCCGAGTACGTGCGCGGCGCGCGGCAGTCGCAATGTTGGGGTGTCGGCCGCGGCCGCGTGTGGGCTGCCCGTTCGAATTCGAGAAATTCTGAGCGGCGGGCGACGCAGCGGAATGGAAAACGTTGGGTATCATTTCAGTGCGGACTGTCTGTCTGCGAGGGGGAGCGAATTTGAACGAAGAGTTGAAGTTGTTCAAGTTGAATCAGAAAAGGCGCCCAAAGCGGCAAGTGTGGGGTGTTTGGACGGTGATCGCAACCTCTTGAAGAACAACGACTAGCTATGGATCTGGACTTGGGCGCACTGGGGCCGCTGGGCAACGTCTGGCGACTTACGTGGTTACAGATAAGAACTTGAAGTGCCTTGTCCGCGGCGTCTGGTTTGGACTTGAATCAGCTTCTGTGGAAGGACGACTCTTGTGGCTCTGAGTCTCTTGGGACTGTTTGACTGTTTCTGTTGCTGGTGTCTGATGGTGGCGCTTTGCTTATCGCGGCGACGCCTTTGTGACGAGTCTCCGCGAGCGCGCTCTGACGCCGACGCTGCGTCATGAGAAACATACCATTAGCTTGTTTGTGGTGTCCGGGGGCCGCGAAGGATGAAAATGAACGACACACGCGCTTCTTGCACGTCGTATCCTCGTCCTGCCCTCATCCATACCCTTATCGCATCGTCCCCGTCCCCCCCTCAAAATGTCGCGTCTCACAAAACAAAACCGCAACCCCAACCGCTCCTCCACCGACGCCGCCGCCGCCGACCCGCTCTCCCCCCCGCGCCCCTTCTTCTTCGCCCCCGACACCGCCCGCAGCTCCGCCTCCGACTCGTCTCTCTCCGACTCTGACCGCGAGCAGCCCCCGCGCTCCTCCGTGCCCGCCCCGCAAGCCCAAGCCCGCCGCCGCTCCGGCATGGCAGGCTACGGCCCCGTCGCCGCAACAACCCCCACCTCGCCCGCCTTCGCGCGCCGCCGCAATTCTGCCTCCGCCGGCCCCTCCAACCCCTTCGCCACGCCGACGCCGGACGCCGACGCGGGCTTCGCGTACCCGCAGGACAGCGACGTCTACGCCCCCGTGCGCGCCGGCGCCGAGGACCACGAGCTCTCGCCCAGCTGGAACGCGGGCAGCCTCTACTACAACGACGTCGAGGAGCCCGTGTCGCCCGGCCGCGGCCGCGTGGGCGCGCGCCCCCCGCCCAGCAGCTTCCAGTTCCCGTTCCAGGGTACGTTTCTTTTCGTTTTCCCTTTTTTTTCCTCAAACACAGTTCCTAATTTATTTCATCTTGTGCAGCCTACCCCGGGAACCCGGACCCCCTCCCCACACGGCGCCGCTCCGGCTCCTTCGAGAGCCTCACCACCGACCCGCACCGCGCCCTCTCCCTCTCCGACACCTCGCACGAGCCCGCCGCGCCCTCGCTGCCACAGCCCGCCGCGCCCTTCATGGCACGCGACAACCGGCACAGCGCCTCCTCCACCTCGCTCGCCAACAGCGTCACGCGCAACTCCGCCGCCGCCGCCCTGCACTCGCCCTCCCAGACCGCGCTGCACACCCAGTACCAAAACGCGCAGTACGCGCAATACGCCTCGCCCACGGCCTCCGTGCACGAGCTCGGCGCGCCCACCCCGCCCTTCGCCAGCGGCACCAACACCACCGCGCTCCCGCGCACCTCCTCCCAAACATTCCGCGCGCCCTTCCTCTCCCCCGCCTCGCGCCCCTCCTCCTCCCTCTGGGCGCCCCCCTCCTACTCCCCCTCCGGGGCGCACCTCTCCTCCCTGCACCCCGGCTCCCCTTCCTCCCCGGGCACATCCGCCCTCGCGCTCGCCCTCCCCGCCGCGCCCGCGCCCGCGCCCTCCACGCGCCTCGCGGGCAAGCTCACCGCCGCCGAGAAGCCGTGGCTCGCGCGCCCGCCGCCGCGCGCGCGCGCCTCGTGGTGGCTCACCCTCGCGTGCATGCTCCTCGGGCTCGCCGGCGCCGCGGCGCTCTGCTACTTCGGGATGCAGGGCGTGGACGTGTTTGGGGAGGGCGAGCTGTGCCGGGTGCTGCGGGACGACTTTAGCGGGAACGGGGGGGAGCTGGACACGGAGAATACGTGGGTGCGGGACGTGCAGATGGGCGGGTTTGGGTGCGTTTCTCCTTCCTTCCCCTCCCCTCCCCTCCCCTCCTTGCCCTCCCCCCCCTGCTTCCGTCCCCTCCCTTTTTCGCGTGCTAACACGCCGCGCGCAGGAACGCCGAGTTCCAGATAACCACCGCCTTCGCGAACAACTCCTACATCAAGAACTCGCAGCTCTACCTCATGCCCACGCTCACCTCCGCCGCCATCGGCGACGCCGCGCTCACGTCCGGCGCGGCGTACACCGTGCCGGGCTGCACCGAGGCGCAGACGAACAAGACGGCGTGCAGCGCGGCGGGCGGCGCGGGCGCGGTGGTGAACCCGGTGATGAGCGCGCGGATCAGCACGAAGGGAAGGTTCGAGATCACGTATGGGAGGGTGGAGGTAAGGGCGAAGCTGCCTAGGGGGTGCGTCCGTCTCTCCGTTTCTCCGTCTTATTTTACGCGTGTGGTGCTCATGTGGGCGGCAGCGACTGGCTCTGGCCCGCGATCTGGATGCTCCCCTCCCCCGCCCCCAACTCCTCCTCCAGCACGAGCACCTGGCCCCTCACCGGCGAGCTCGACCTCATGGAGGCCCGCGGGAACGGCCCCGCCTACCCCGCGCAGGGCAGCAACTTCGTGCGCAGCACCGTCTCCTACGGGCCGCTCCCGTCCGTGGTGGCGCGCCTCTTCGGGTGGTACGGGCTGAAGCGCACGGCGTTCGACCGCGGGTTCCACACGTACGGGCTCGAGTGGGACGCGCGGTGGCTGCGCTTCTACGTCGACTCGCGCGTGCACAGCACGCTCGACCTCTCCACCAAGAAGAGTAAAGAGAGTTTCTGGGCGAGGGCGGGGTTCCCGGCGACGGCGCAGAACGGGAGCGCGGTGGTGCCGCTGGCGAACCCGTACGAGAGTGTCAACGCGCCGTTTGATAAGCGTGCGTCCCCCCCCCCCTCTCTCCTTTTTTCTTCTCTTAAAGATACTCTAGCGTTCTACCTGATCATCGACCTCGCGGTGGGCGGCACGAGCGGGTGGTTCCCGGACCGCGTCGGCGGGAAGCCGTGGTTCGACGGGTCGCTCAGCGCGATGGCGGACTTCTGGGCCGCGAAGGACACGTGGTTCGCGACGTGGCCCGAGAGCGACGACGATCGCGCGTTTCGCATGTGCGTGTTTCCGTTTTTTTCGTATCACTCGAAAGGAGGTGGGCTGATAGGGGGGTGCAGCGACTCGGTGAATATGTGGAAGAAGTGTTGAGCGCGGGCGCTGGGCGTGCGCAGGAAGCATGAGACCGAAGACTCGAAGACGAAGACTGAACTGACATGATACACGCATGCATACCCGCCCACCTGCCCACCCGCACATACGCTCCCTTGGACTCCGCACCCTCGCTTGGACTCTTCCTGCGCTACGATTGTTGTTGCTGCTGCTGTTACCACTGCGCTCTCGCCTTTCTTGCACGTTTACTCTCGAATATCTACACCCG